TAATTGTGGCAACACTAGTGGAAATACAAGCAATAAGACGTTTGGTAACGTCAGTAGCCATCTCTCTAAACACTTGAATGGATCACCTCGCCTCTCCGAAGCTGTTGGAATATCCAACCATAGCAACAGTGGTGGAAACGGAGGTGGCTCTGCCTCAACTTGTCTTATGGTTTTCGCTCTCTGCTTTGCTGCTCTCTTCTTCGGCGCTCCTTCGCCCCAGACTCCAGGCTCGGCTATCTCGCCCTTTTGGCCTGTTTCTTACGGCTCAGCTCGTCAATCTGCTTCACCAGAACTTTCCTCATCATTGATGTCTTCTTCGTCGCTACATTCGATGACATCTAATATAGGAGATAGCGCTGATAGTAAAAAGGGCATGTCTTCAAGTCAAGAGCAATCTGGGGGTGCTGGGTTCATGCTAAATCAGGTAGAAACAATTGTAAAACTAATTCAAGTTTACTTTTAGCTTAGTCTGTATAGTCTGACTATCATTTATGTTAGCTGTTTGCAGTTTTAACTTTTTCTAAGGTAGACAATCGCACACAGGTTTGCCTCACTTTGGTTGCTACTATATATATATATATATATATGTATATATTTATTTATTTATTTATATAATCTTATCACACACCCTCCTTTATGGCTACTCTTAGGCTCGTTTTGAACATTAATATCCATAAGCCCTCGTTTCCACTTTATATTTGGGAAACATTATTAGGAATATAGATGTCGCTTTCTTGTAAATTTTTTTTCGCATATTTATTCTTTTTATATTTCTTTTCTACATTTTTTCTACCACCCAGATTGGTTACTCATGGTGTCGTAAGCCGAATTGTCAAATGACAGATAGGCCTTATATGAGATCCCACCATCCCAATTCGTTTGCTACGCAGGATGCTTCCTCTTATTTCCAGAACCAGGAATCGCAAACGGCTGCAACTTCAGTTCCACTATCAGATCACATGTCTTCTGTCTCAAATTCTGCTATATCTTCCCGCAACCTCAGTTGTGATTTAGAATTTGATCCCATTGCTGAAAATTCGCACTCAGACTGGCCTGAATACAATGCGGCTTCATGGCAAAGAACCCAGTGTGGCGCAACAGATACTTACCAAGATATCAGCACAAGTAAATCAAACATCTATAATCGTATTATGTGTTACTCTAAGTAAATTTATGAAATATGTATTTAAACATTTATTTGCCATCAGGGACATCCTTAATGCAGAGACAATTTAAAATCTAGATAAAAATCTTAAATTGTATATTGTTTATTTAGCATGGCAAGCTTCAGCCTAAAGATTGGAGGACAAAAGATTGAAGGTCTCAGCGACTATAAGCTTTCCATTTTTAGACTAACTAAACACTTCGACCCATCAGGAATCTTTTGGATGTGACACGTTTCGCATTGAGGCTAGTCTTAATATTTGCATACCTTATATTCCGTTAGAAAAGGCGAGTGGAAGGGCTTTGTAAATTAGCCTCATTGGATACATACGGAAGGTTATCTTGACCTGACCGTTGAATTGTGCTAAGAAGACTTTGAATTACTGTCTTGCGATCCCTATGACTCCGTGCTGAGCTTTTGTTCGTCATGTGACGGACAGCTTTAGAGACATAAACCATCATTTACAA